CTGGTGCCCCTCCCTTCCTTACAAGACACTTAAATCACCCCCCCCACTACTGAGAACTATAACTACTGTAAGAACTATAACTACTGTAGAACTGTGTTACTGTGTGTTGTGTTACTGTGTGTGTGTTACTGTGTGTTACTGTGTGTTGTTACTGTGTGTGTACTGTTGTGTGTGTGTGTGTGTGTGTGTTAACTGTGTTTTAAACTGGTGTGTTACTGTGTGTGTGTGTGTGTGTGTGTGTTTTACTGTGTTACTGTGTGTGTTACAGTGTGTGTGTGTGTTACTGTGTTTACTGTGTGTGTGTTACTGTGTTTACTGTGGTTACTGGTGTGTGTTGTTACTGTGTGTGTATTACTGTGTGTTATGTGTGTTACGTGTGTGTTACTGTGTGTTACTGTGTGTGTGTTACTGTGTGTTACTGGTGTACTGTGTGTGGTTTACTGTGTGTTACTGTGGTTACTGGTGTGTGTGTGTGTTTTTGTTTGTGTGTGTTACTGTGTGTTACTGTGTGTGTGTTACTGTGTGTTACTGTGTGTGTGTGTGTTACTGTGTTACTGTGTGTGTGTGTGTGTGTTACTGTGTGTTAAACTGTGTGTGTTGTACGTACGTATCCTCCTGCTGTTGGATCCAGGGTGAGTAATATATCTGCAGGTACTGGTCCGTGGTTGAGCATGCGGCTGGTTGGCAGAGTGACTAAAAGCAGACAGGGGTTGTGACCTGCAGACATGAACGAGCTCACACACTGTCTCTATTGAAGGACGAGGTCAACGTATGTTCAAGCTCCCACTGAGTGAAAACAGGGGGTAACTCACCTCACAGGTCACAGCGATCTGGGTTTTAGGTGAAGCTTGAGGCCAACCAGAACGTCGGTGGGGGGAACCGCAGACCATCCTCTCCAGGTCTGCTCATCAGGTCTCAAAGAAGGGAAGTTCAAAAAAGAGTTGTCCGTCTACAGAGCAGCCTTCAGCTCCTGGGACCAACAAAAACAAAGAACAGATATCAGACAAGACAAAGACAGACAGATATCAGACAGACAGACAGACAGATATCAGACAGACAACAATATCAGAACAGACAGATATCAACAGACACACAGACAAGATATCAGACAGACAGACAGCAGATATCGACAGACAGACAGATATCAGACAGACACACAGACAGATATCAGACAGAAGACAGACAGATATCACAGACAAGACAAAAGACAGAACTCTGTAACCTGAATTATTGTGATAAACAGAATTCATTTACAGTAATTTAATAATCTTCTAAATTATTCTCAATAATCATCAAAACACTAATCATAATTTTTAATAATTAGTTTTTATTCAGTTCAAAGAGACTTTATTTAATGTCCGTCTACAAACATTGTTGATATAAATTACAATTAAATTAACAACTGAATGTAAAACAGAACACTTTATTATCAACTTTATGTTTTGCATGTGAAGAATTGACAATAAATCTGACTTTGACTTTGACTTTTTATCTGGACAGGGCTGGTTTGCGGGTAGAAACCTGGCAGTGTCTCAGGTGACCACCAAGTATGTGCTCTGGGTGGATGATGATTTTATCTTCACTGCAAACACCAAGTTGGAGAAGATGGTGGACATCCTAGAGAAGACCACTCTGGATCTGGTGAGATGCATGCCTAGATACAGTACAATGTGTGCGGCAGATATCTGCTGCGTTGATGCCTGGTCCCTCTTGTCCTCTACTTTGGTATGGTATTGGTATGTGATGGCACTGGATGGTCTCACATTGTTTTTACTGATTTGTGAAACACTTTCCCCTAACGTGCTACATATGTAGATAAACTTACCTTACAGTTAACTGTCCGATGTTTTCAACCTATAGACATCTGCAGTCACTTGACAACATGCCTGATGATGCTCTGCCAGGCCTATGCTGCAGTCCTGTTTAGTGTGCTTATTGTGAGAGCTTGAGAGGATTAAGCTCAGGTATCAAGAACGTTTCGTTTTCAAACTCTTGTTCAACTCAAAGTTGCCTTGTCTGTATGGTTAGGATCAATGTACAGCGGCATTATCACTGCAATTTTAGAGAAATTATACATATAAAAAAGACCCAAGTCCTACACTATTATACCCAATATGATGAGTCCAACACACCTTAAAAGTTGGCACTCATACTCACTGTTTCATTTCCAATCCAATTTGCTGGAGTGTAAAGCCAAAAGTGAAATGTTCTGCTTCTAACAGATTGATTTCTTCAGAATATCTGCAGCAGGGAGTTGTGCCAAATTAAGTTAATTCAACCTGACAGTTTTGAATATATTTTTACAGGGTGAGCTTTCAGTTTTTTGCATGATAAATCTTCTTATGCCTCAACTTCGCTGTGACACCATGGTGTCCTGGAAAAGCACTTTATTGGTCATTATTCAACAGAAACGAACAGTTGGTCGGCCACTGAGTTGGTTGCACGTTTGACTCAAAGGTCAAAGCTTATTGTGACCTCAAAAATTGATTTTAGCTATAATTTAAGAATGAATTGTTCGATTCCAGTTTTCACACATGTTGGTGTTATTAGAAACTACGATGAAATGAAGAGTGACACTCATCATTAAGCAGTAAGCATTTCATGTATAATTTGTTCCAATATTGTTGCTGTCTTGATGATTTCAGGTTGGTGGTGCAGTGAGAGAGGTGACCGGCTACACTGCAACATACCGTCACACCATTTCAGTGGAAGAAGGGGGAGAGGAGGGCGACTGTTTACATATCAGAAATGGCTACCATCATGTCATTGAGGGATTTCCCAACTGTGTGGTAGCTGATGCCGTCATCAACTTCTTCATGGGGAGGACAAACAAGGTGCAGCAGGTGGGCTTTGACCCCCGCCTGGCACGGCAGGCTCATCTAGGTGAGTAATATCTGCTTTCAAATATATTAACATAGCAGTTTATACACTGATCAGCCATAACA